CGCATGGCTCTGAGACGGGTGTGTCCGCCCATCTCAGAGCTGATAAGGTGTAGAACGCAAGGCGACGATAGGTGCCACCACCGTCTCGTCTTAGCAAAGCGTTGGAAACACTCCCCGTTCCGTGCAATCATTGCATGGTCAGCGCAGCGTGATAAGAGCTAAGGTCCTTAAAATTACTTATGTATGCTTTTTCTAGTAAAATACGCACATGCAGAATATATACGTGTTGTTATGGTGCCGCAGACATGCGCAATAATTGTTTTTTAATTGACGATTGCACAAGCATGAACGCTCAATCTTGAGCAACATTGGTGGGTGCTGCGGATGGGGTCGGCCGTTTCAAGTACCAGATGCCGTATAGAGTGGACAAAGAGACAAATGTGCAGGCGGACAGACAGACAGACCAAAATTTTTGCGTCGAAGGTCCCCAAGAAAAACTATCGTTTTTAATAAACCAGGACCTCTGGTACGAAAAACTTAGTGTGATTTGAAATGAGAAAGCGCGCACGATACCCTGTCGAAAACCGTGTGTAATCGTTTCATGTTATGTTTAAGCGCAACATAATCTTTTTTACCGATGTCTCTGTGAGAATTAGGGAAGAACAGACATGAGCGGCAGCAAAATATTTTTATTAAGAATCCCAAAAACGTAACCCATGAATTAAGTCGTTGAACATGTTAGAAATGTTTTTAATAATGTAAATAGGGGGTGGTATAGTATATGTAACACATAGCACGATATATTTTGGGGAATGATACGGGAAAAGAAAACAAAGGCCCAAACATCGATATTTTCACCAGAACTTTGGCATGCGGTTTGATTGCATCCGTTGAGATGTGATATGTATTGATGCTCTAAACTATATGCATATAAGACAGGCATATCATTCAAGAAAACACCCTTGGGTGTAATTTGCGAACATACACCTATAGTACACCTAAATATGACAAATGGGTGTACAAAGGTGGAATTGCAGAAATTACACCCGTGCGGATAAGTTTGGCAGAAATAATAGGTGTAAGATGGGTGATTTATTGAAAAATCCACCCTTAAGGGTGTGAAATTATTTGCAGTGTATATGCTGACAAATTACTTGATTGGATTACGGATTATTTGCACCTGAAGAGTCAGGTTGTTCGCTACAACCCAGAACAGTCATCGCCAGCTAATATTTCCTCAGGTGTTCCACACGGCTCTGTATTGGGACCCATTTTATTCATAATTAACATAACAATGTCGTTCGTTAAACTTCGTCTATACAGCGATCACTGTGTATTGCATTCCAAGGTGCTTAGCGTCACTGACCAAGTCTTGTTGAATGATGTGTTTTCTGCTTTTTGCGAATGCAGTCGAACTTGGCAAATAGAGCGTAATTTTCAGTAAACCGTGGCATTGACTTTTACCAATAAAAAGGAGTCACTGCAATTTAGACTTCATTCACACACTAGAAACGTCCAGGAGTTTAAGTATCTTGGTGCTGTATTCTCTCCAAACTTGAAGTGGCACAAACACACCAGCCTTATTTCTACAAAATTGCTTAAGAAATTAAGTTACTTAAGAAGTACGCTAAGGGTGCCACAAAAGAATGCAAGCTTATAGCCTTCAAATCACTGGTCAGGCCTCTTCTTCAATATGTGTCTGTTGTATGGTCACCACATCTTGCAAATGACATAGGTAAACTTGAGACCGTCCAGCGAAAAGCGATTAGATTCATTTTCAACCATTATGACTATGATTTCTCCCCTTCGGAGCACTACCATGCTTTATTGCTAAAACGTTTATAACACAGACGTGTTTGTGATCGGCTTACTATGCTAGCCAAGATCGTGCACAAATCTGCCCGCACAGCTACAGGCATTTCGTTCGCCAATCATTCTGCCCTTGTGACTCACCGATACAAGCCGTTCAACATTGTACCATTCAGATGTTATATTGATTGTTATAGATACTCTTGTTTTTCCGTGTACAGTTGACACTTGGAATAATCTGGACACTTCTTCGAGACGACTACGGGATGCACTGTTTGTTAGACACGGGTCCAGTTTTGTAATTTGATGTTTTCATTTATGCTGTTCTTGTTTTGCTCGTTTATTGTAACCACTCCTGCAATGTCTCAAACATAAGACAGCAGTATCTGTTAATATATATATTATGTGACGCTATGATGAACAACAGACGTGGCCTGGCTCATACGCCATGTTTATTCTACTGTGCAGTTCTTCCTTTCCTGTGCCTCTACCAACCATCGCTTCATACGTCACACACACACACGCATACGCATATATATATATATATATATATATATATATATATATATATATATATATATATATATATATATATATATATATATATATAGTGAACACTCTCGAAGTAGAACCACTCCACATCTTTTCTTTATGTATTCATCATATAGAAGTGCCGCCATCAAGCGGAGATTCGAAGGACCGCTCTTTCGGATATGAGCGACTGGTAGTTACGCACTAGAACGAGGACGCACAAACCACGCCATAAGGAGCTTCACCTCTAAATAGTGATCTCGAGTGCTCATTACTAAACGCTAGAAAACTATTTCTACACAACGTCTATATTACTAGTTTGAAGCGGACTTTGCACTACGCCCAGCGCACTCAATCCCCCGAGATGAATAGCCCAAGCTCGATCCCCAGATGAGAAGACATCAGTCCAGCCGAGCTCGACCCATGCTCGGGCTACCCGAGCCCGTGCACACCCACTCGCACGCAGCCACCAGAGCGCTGACAATCGATCAAAAATATAGCCAATTGTAAAAATTACAAAAAATTAACTTGGTTTGTCAGAACAGTTGCATCCATATACCGTGAGGATCCCATTTTTGTTCACCATTTATTTCTACGCTTGCTGCGCCTCGAGTGGCCGTCTCAAAACGGCCCAGTCTTGGCAAAGTAGCTATGTCATGTGATGGCGCCAGTGACACCACGTTATACGGCCTCGAGATGACGTCACGAGGTGACGTATTCACGTGATCATTTCTCGCACCATTCATGCTGGCGCCGACGGCCACTTTGGATGTTTAAAGAGGCATCAATGTCATTCACCTCAATGTTAAAAAAAAAAAAACATGCCACCCCGGATTAGCGTGGCCCGCCTCAAGAGACATTATAACAAGAATATGACAGATAACTATACCTTGGCCATTTAACCTACAGAACACTGAGGGAAGTATAAAGAGAGCTGCCAGTCATCCATAAGAACCCTTGACTCCTCAAGACACGAGGCAATCTCGGTGGACCAAACAATAGCGCTTGTCCCAGTCGCCAGAGAGAAAGACAACAAGCCACCTCGCTTTTTCTGAAGACAATGCTATCGGCGGTTGGCGAGCATCCAGCAATCTAATCGAGTGTGGCTGCAGAGAAGACAAAAATAAGAAGGGGATAAACGCACAGAGGAGGCCATTGTCTTCACTGCCACTCAGCTGGCCCGCGGGGAAAAAAAGACGCGCCCGTCGAAACCCAGCGGCTGCCAAGAGTTCGCCGCCGCGTGATTTCCAGAGAGAGATAACGCGAGGCACGGCCGCTGTAGCGAGGAGCAAGGGGCGTTTCTTATCTGGCGGCGCAGCGGGTTATCTCAGTGCCGCCCGCGCTGCATGCGGCAAATCTAGTTCATTGGACGAGCACGATTTCCCTCGGTCAGTGTCTGAGATTATAGCAAGCTGACTGACGGTATCACAAATACGAAGTAGACAATTAAAGGTTATTTTTTTTTCAATTGATGTTTGCTTTTACGAAGTACCAAGAATTGTGACCTCCGATTTCCGCATAAGGACCATCAAAATAACCGTTCCGGATGGTCTACGTCTCAGAATAATGGCATCATTACAGTATTTTAAACAAAAAAAAAAAAAGCCAACCAAGGTAAGTGAACAAAAAACTAAAAAAAGGACAAGGCTCCAGTGCTTTTTTCATTGTAAATAAGACAACGCCTTCTTAAAATTTTGTGCATTTCACCTTGGTCGGTGTTCTTGTTTTTATTCCACCATCTCTGTCTCCGACCAGCTAGGGTTCCGTCGGAACCTCGACTGTAGAGACATGATTATGAGAAATACCGATGTCTCTAGAGACTGAAGTAGAAGTCTTGACCATCTGAGGTACTTTACCGTGCGCCCAAAGTTCTTCCATTTCGCTCCCATGAGAATATTCCCACCTTTGTCGGAAATAGCGTCCACGTCCTCAAGCATTGCATCTATCAATATAATGCTAAAGTCTATAGCTTACGGTAGCCCCCCCTGTAAAAGATGAAAAGCCGGCTCCAGAAACCTATTTCGTAAGGAGAATTCCAGTGTACAAGCTTATCTTGGTCATTGCTTTCTAAACAACTAAAACAATGCACTTTGGATTTTTGAAACAGAGTACACAAATTAAGTTTTTTCCCCTCCTTTTTTCAAAGTGATCATCTACTGGCTGAGATTCGACCACCAGAACAAGCGATCACATATCAACAAATGCATTGTTAATGTGAATTTATTTAAATTGTTTTGGCATATAGCAGCATATATAAATATATAGCATATATAAATTGTTTTGGCATACTTCAACCATATAGCAGTGTGTGGCCTGTCTTTTGTACAAAAGCGGCCAGCAGCAAGACTTTACGAGAAAGATTTTCTTGTATCCTGTAAGTGGCTGTACAATTCGGCTACACGGCAGTCGTGCAGGTAGCAGCACATGTCCCCTTCAAGGTAACCTGCAAAAACGGGACTGTAAGGATGTCCCCTAGTTGACGTCTCAGTGTTCTGGCTAATGTTACGATTGACATTTGTGTGCTTCAACTGCTCTGCAGAAGCAGCTCATCGTAACGCTGCAAACATTGTTGTATGACCTATAGGAAAGTGCATTTCCCCCTGAAACTTTGGTATGTTGAAGGGTTGATAGTTTCGTACCGAGTTCATGTGACGTGTTACAAGAAAATGCATGCCACAGCATTTCCATGTGTGGAACAAAAGAAGACTGACCACATTCGCTCAGGAAGGTGAACTTCAATACTTTTTTTATTATCGAAGACACTGCTGCTCGCAGACGGTTCTATCACAACAACGCAAAAGTATAACTTTCTCTCTTGTCTCGTAGGAGTCTCTCTGTACAAATAATATAGTTACAATATGTTTGAAAGAATTGTGTAAAACAAATGTGTGTATCTTGATGTCGCAGAAAGGCAGACAACTGGCTAAAAATATTAAGTAGGCCCACCGGTGAACAACATTCTTATAGAGGCGACTCCTCTATTACACGCTGGTATATTGAAACATTGAGACACAGTGTTTCAGGAACGTCCTTGAAGAACTGAAGTGTTAAGTAGATTTCACAAGAATAAGATAACATGTTCCAAATGCGATCTGTGGTGCATGCGACAGGAATTTTCAGTTGCAGCCGACTCGATCAGATATACCAGCGGCAACGAAGACAAGTCAACTTAAAATGGCAACTGACAACAAAATATTACAAATTGCAGGGCCAATTGAGCATATCTTGAACGCCATCGGACTAGCTCTAGAAGCTGCGCTTACAGCATCAGACCCAAAGCCAGTCGCCTACCTCGCATGATGTTTTTTATGTCATTTGAATCTGTGTTTGTACTGATAAAATGTGAGAAAAGTAATGTTATAAATAATAACCGGAGATCCCCAAAAAATGCTATTCAAACAAGATGCCACAGAGATAGGTATAAACCACCAACACACAGCTCGCACACTATTCACTCCGACACGCACGCCTACAAAGAAAAAAAAAAAGCTACATTTGATTGCACATGATCAGCAAATGAGCAAGGACTTGCTGCATTCTGGCTTTTCTACATTTGGTAGGACGACGACATCCGCCACCTTATTTCGCAATTTGTGACATCGTACATGGGCAAGAGAACACAGTTTCTAATTGTAATACTGCGCTGGTCCATAGTGTTCACGCTGGAGGTCCACTTCCGGCTAGATGCGGAGGTGCTGGCAAGACGAGACTGGTGGCATGAGCGAAACTGCCCAGCAGCATCTCACGGGACCTCAGGAGCTCGTGAGAGCATGCTGGAACGCTGACACAAAGCACCTTACAGGAGACAAGACGGGAATTCTGCAGGCAGCTGGGGACAACAGCATGACGGCTTCCGCGTAGATGCCACAAGCCTTGCTCTGCGGCCTGCAGCAGGATCAGGCGCTGCTGTTCCAGGGGGTGGAGCTTTATATGTATTGGTCTGTACAGGATGGCTTCCGACAGCGACGGGGCACGCGATCGAACCTGGACTGCCGAGAACGAGCTACGCCATCACGTCCTCTCCGGGCGTGCGCTAGTGGACAACAAACGACTAGTCGTGGGACCCGGGGCAGTAGGTGAGGGTGCGTCTTTCGGAGTCGAACGGCGCCCAGGGATATTTACGCAAAACAGAACACAAACAATGCACGAGACAGTCCCCACTCGTCCAAGTGTCTCACAAGTCCTAGCACGAGACCGGGCGCGACGGCGGTACCACCGCGGACATCAGGTCGACGAGGTGACTCGGTATCTTGTCTGTGTGGGTCACCTGCAAAGGAAGCACAAGCGGATTCAAGTTTACGACATGTTTCTCAGAGAGAAGGCACACGCAATTGCTCCGAGAAACAAACGAGCGGACTAAACAAAATTCCTTCCTACATCGTATATTCCCCAATCCTGTGCCGACCTGTTGACGTGTCCTCGTAACAAGAGACAGTTACGGGTCGGCACCTTTCTCTCCTTTTTTTCTGTTAAAACTACATATATATAAACGAAATAAAAAGTGGTGAAGGGGGGCACGAAATGAGCATAGACTCATTTATCTTGATGCGTTTGGCATGAAAGCAACAATAATTAAGTACTGCGAATGTATATTAGCGTACCGCATACGGCATGCTTGAACTTATGCCGCAAAACACTCGAGGTTTCCCCTCAGTATCATTCCTGATGCTCCGTTCATTCGGCACCTCTGTTCTTGGCCAACGCCACATGTGACATGTATTGACAGATACCAGCCCGACTGCCGAGGTGACTCACTGTTCTTTTTGTACAAGTTTACCACATGACCAGCACCATCCTTAAAATAGGAATGCGTATGCTCTTGTCAGGCCTACACGAAGCAAAATCTAGCTATAAAGAACCTTCGCTGCGGAACCTGGAACGGAAGAAGTGAAACAGGAATGCACCCGAGAAAGAAGGCGCGCTGGCAAGGCCATGAAAGACACCACGACGGCAACCTATTCGATGAATATGTATGGTCGTTTTCCCGAGCGACATCGCCCACCAGAACGCTTGCCAAAGCACACACGGCTCGATAGGCCAGCAAGTGCGTCTTCCAACGCTAAGGCGATGCGTCAGCGAGTCGTAGATGGGCGCGTACGAGACACACGGACCGCCACGCAGCAGAGGACGGTTCAAGAAAGCTCGGGGGACGTTAGCGTTACAACACAACGGTGGCCTGACCCACATCGCCATCCAGGCAGCGGCCCTTGCGAGATGCCGTCGTCGGCGAGGCCGCACAGAAAACCAGTTCTATTGCGGCGCTGCCGTCAAGGAAGTCATACACCTCCTCACTTCGCCAAAGTTTTTTTTATTCTTTCCCAGGACAAGTGCTCGCTCAAGGGAAACACGCACCTGCAAGACCGACGCAGAAGACACTGCGCGTCACGGCAAACAATCGCAGAGAAGTACAGGCAGATTGGAGGAGCGCCCCTCTCTGTCGGTGCCTGCTTTGTTTTTTGTTTTGTCGGGAAGGGTTGAACGCTCGCGACGAGCTGCGATGGCTATCGCAGAACTCCCAGCGGGCAAGAGCGGGACTGCAACGCGAGATCCGGCTGGGCCAAACCGGCCGCTCAGCACGTTCACCTAGCCAGACTTTCCACGTCAGCAGCGGCTCTTTTTGAAAAAAAAAAGAATAGTAACCGTGCAGATACTACCTTGGCAAATAATTGAGGCTACAGAGTTGCTCTCTGGATGCCTTTACTGAAGCTGGAAATGCAGAGACAGCAACGGTAATCTAGCTGGAAATCGCCAACAAAAATAGAGCGCCGACTCCCCCCCCCCCACCCCCCGGAAAAAAAAAAAGCCCGAAAGACTCGTAAATCTCGGAAAGCTGCAACCCGACACAGATGTTCATATCAAATTTGAACAAGGTATATTTGTAAACCGAGCGATAACGATTAGATTGCAGTTCGAGTAGTCTGCGAGATGGTCTAAGCTGCGCGGCACAGCCATTCACTCCGGGCAAAAACCATCGAGGCTGCGGAGGCCCGATTGCGTGCCGCGCTTCGACCGCAAGCAGCGGAGCGAGACGACACGTCACGACTGCGGAAAAGAGCCACCAACTCGCATTCCGAGAGGGAAAAAAAAAAAAAAGTAAGGAAACATGACGCACCGACGCTGCCCATCGCAACCTAGATAATGCGGGAGACACCTGCAAGCCCCGCGGCGGCGAAGCTTCGTAAGCGGCTCGAGAATGCACTTGTTTTTCACGTGGTGACGCTAGCGCGGTGTCGTCATGAGGAAGTTTACGGTTACAGGCGCGGAGCAAAACATGGACGTCACATTGCCCTACATGGGAGAACTCGGAATGTTAGTCACGGCCGGGGTGCCATGTGAAGCAGATAATACCTTGGCACGAAGCCAGTCGTTGAGAAAAAATGAAACTGATTCCTCAAAGCTTGGCTATTTGATCGGTTGCGCTTATAAGGCTGGACAAAACTAGAAACACTGCTCTCCCAGGGATATATCAGTGCTGGACAATGCGACATTAAGGAATAAGACTAGCTAAGTCGAAGGAATAAAAGAGGCGCATAAACGGCATCAATACACACCTCCTGCGCGGAGCAAGTGTTCGCCACGGCGTTCGCAGAAGGGGGTAGAGCGCCGAGGGGTTGCCGCGCCGGACTCGTGCTAGATCCCGCCGGATGCGACGAGGAGCGGTTCGCGGGGTGCGTCTCGAGGGCGATCTGCAGGTCGAGGATGTAGTCGATCACATTCTGGATGATCTCCAGCTTGCTGAGCTTCTTGTTGCGCGGCATGTTGGGCACCAGCTCCTTGAGCTTGGCGAGCAGCGAGTGCATTTCTTCCTGATTCAGGTCGCGCTCCTTGCGGCCATTGCGGCCAACGCGGCCTTCGGCCACCTTGGCGAGGCACCGGCTGATCGCTTGCTGCTGCTCGTTTTGCGCCTTCATGGTCATTTAATCCGTTGGGTGACACTCACGGCAGCGATGAACCGGTAATCCGACGCTTGGCGATGCTCAGCGCACGTTGGAGACTGTGCCTCTGTGCACCACACGATCGAAAACGCAGTTCCGAACACGAAAGTTCACAGTCGCGATCGAAACACGCACGTACGCCGGCACACGAAGTGGGTTGGTAAATGACTTGCAAGCGAGGGCAATCCTCGATTATATACCACCCCGACACCACACGCCCAATGGCTGGAGTTATGGGAGGAGCGTCGGGGAAGGCGGCCACCAATGGGAAGCTATAGACGACCGCCGCTATAGTAACGCTTAAATGTTCCAGAGGGCGCCACCAACTGATCGCTATACGACGCAAGCGCACACTGGGATCGTCAGTCGGTCGCTAGTCGCGCCCGCGTCGGAGTCACAGCTGTGCCGGCGCGTATCTCGTTCTCCGCGTATATTTTTTTTGCGCCATCCTACCACTCTCTCCCGTTTCCCATGCGGGACGTTGCTCCTCCTCGCCCGAGTGCGCGAGCCAGCTGTCCCCGGGCAGGAGAACGCGCGTGCCTTTCAAGCCGGAGCTTGAGCGACTTCGCCTCCCCCGTCCCCTCCGTTGCACCTGTGCGGGCGGCGGCTCTGCTTTGCTAAACGGGCGGCCTGTGTGGCTTGTTGGCTCATCGCGGAGCTCTTCGCCCCAGCGGGGTCTCAACACCGCACCCCTCCTCCTCCATTTGCCTCCGCGTCATACCAATCCCTCTTACCGAATACTTTCCACTCTCTCTCTTTCCCTCACCCTCCACGGCTAGGTCGGGGTTCAGGTGGCGGCTCGCTCCCCGTGCTGGTTACGTTTTGTCCATTTGTGTTTCAGCCTTCACTGCTTTACTTACTCTATTTCATTCTTGTTTGTTGTTGATGGTCGGGGATGGCTTTGCGTACGAATCTCGGCAATACGTAGGGGGAGAGCGTGCCAGCAGCTTGCGCGGCTTGTCATTCTCCCCCATGTAACGTGAAATCGTAAACATGAAGGTGTTTTACATTCTTTTATATTTTTTTCGCACTGCTTAATACCTTCTTTTTTTTTTATTTCGTTAACGCTTTTGTTTTTCAACTCGTATAACAAACTAGCGCCTAAATTAAGCACTACGTGACTTCGTTTTTGATGTTTTATCTTCCATTTGGAATGTTGCATTGGTGTTTTGATAGGCATACCCGTTACATACCTGCTTAGTATCATGGAATTCATTTTGTACGTACTTTCGACGCAATATAACATTTGTGAATGAAAGCGTGCGTATCTATCGCAGTTCTTCTTGTTCTCTGAGTTTATAAAAGATGTATGTTGCGTTTATGCAGTAATTTAACCGAAAGCGTGTGTACGACTTTAAAGCGGAGCTGTAAGGTGTAGAGCTGCCAATGTTATCACATGATATGTAGAAAAGCAATGATTACTACAGCTTTTAAATGTACTGCATGCATGAAATCGTAGATTGTGTGTTAGATGTCATTCACAAGTATTGATGATAACATTGCCCTTTCTTTAAGCAATGATCTATTCTCCCCCCCCCCCCCCTTCTTTTTCGAGCCTTCAATTCCCAATACAACGCGCAGATTGCCCCTCTAGTTGGAGTCTCCATTGTCATTAGCAGACTGACCAAACAAAGTTGGTTGCCCCGCCGCGGTGGTCTAGTGGCTAAGGTACTCGGCTGCTGACCCGCAGGGCGCGGGTTCGAATCCCGGCTGCGGCGGCTGCATTTCCGATGGAGGCGGAAATGTTGTAGGCCCGTGTGCTCAGATTTGGGTGCACGTTAAAGAACCCCAGGTGGTCTAAATTTCCGGAGCCCTCCACTACGGCGTCTCTCATAATCATATAGTGGTTTTGGGACGTTAAACCCCACATATCAATCAATCAATATCAAACAAAGTTGGTTGTGTGGCAAGGTGAATGTGCTAAAATCTGCTCAAAAAACCATTGAACACGGCTTTTTATTGAATGCTTATTGGAGGTAGTGCTTAACATAACGCAATCTTGTGGGATGTCAATCACTAGGAAAACAGGTCACTGCCTAAGCGATAGCCCACGACAGCACGCATGAACCATGAAGATTTAAACAGGCCGTAATCTCGCTCGTCATTGCACGAACCGAGCTTAAACGTTATACTTAGACCACACAAGGGTATTGAAAATAATAAAGCGCTAATTAACCGGAGAGATATTCGAAGGCTGCGTAATTCACGCAACCAGTGTATCATCGGTTAGCATGGCGCATGCAAAGAGATCATAAAAAAGTGGCTCAAAGCATGCACTATGCCGCACAAAGCTCGATACACAGCAAACCTGATAGGTCTCAGGCATGCTTACTTGTTGTCATATCTATAGGCAGAAATTGGCTATAGCACGATTGAACGAAAGAATCATCGTGCGTCAGTGCGCACGATGATTCTAGTGCTCTCTCTCGAGTGAGAAAGGAAAAGAAAAGTGAGCCCCGTAAAGCCCAAACTCCATACGCGCGAAAATGCACGCGACAGCGAAGAAACAGGGCGTTCGCGCGACGTGTCGCGTGCTCGTTTTCGCGCGATCGCTCGGTTCTCCAGATTTGGAAACCGTCGCTCATCGCCCGGAAGTGCTGGGCTCAAGCAGCCAATAGCGAAATACCGGAAAAGACAAGGACTACATAGGTGCACGTGACCCTGCCCGAGTCACGTATGCGACACAAGAAATAACGCAATGTTTATTACGCATGCGCATATAAAAAATGCTGCAAGGCAATAATAAACACTTTCCGTTTCATTACACAACAATATATCTTATTTTTAAATTGGAAACCGCTCGCTACGCGGTTTTCTTGGTGCGAGTTGACGGCCTCATGCCAGCAACAGTGGAATTCGCTCGCCGAAGCCGTCGCGTAAATGGAGTTTGCCTGCGCGAGCGACTGATCGCGCGACGCCGATCTACGTCGCGTCGCTCGTCGCTGTCGCGTGCATTTTCGCGCTTATGGAGTTTGGGCTTAACTGTCTGCTTCAGCGAGCGACACCTCAACAGTAGCTCACAAGGGATGGGGGTGAGGAGGGATTGAAAGGATAGGAATAAAGGTGTAGAGAAAAAGAGAGATGAGGTACGCCAGAAAGCGACCATATATCGAGGGAATAAGAGAGATAAGAAAGACGAAAACACGGTCACAGGAGGATGGGGCACCACTTGCGAGAGCTCTTGTCGGCGTCGGTAGATGGCGTAGAGCAAGTCTAGTCGGTCAGAGCTACGCTGTCGTCGAAGGTCGTCGGCGTCAGGAGATGACGTAGGGCGAGCCCAGTCGGCCAGAGCTACGCTGACGCCGGAAATCGCGAGGGCACAACCGGTCGGCACGGAATCCAGCAAGCGAGTGCTATTCTAGTGCTTCTAACGTTCCGCGTACGAACGACACGCTTCCCTCGCACCAGTTTCATGACAGCGATAAGCAGTCACAGTGGTTATCGTTGTTGTGACTGATAGCAGAGCGTGTTGATCATAAAGCCACTACCATCGTAGCGGCAGTGCAGACACAGCAGAATGGGGCAAATGCTATAGTCGTTCGTACGCAGAACCTTAGGGAGCCCTAGAATCATTGTGCGCACTGGTGCGTGAGCGGGTTTGTCACGTGGTATTTTTCTATTTCGCGGTCATTTGTAAATAGCAGAAAACATTAATACCTGACTGATATAAAGTTCAAAACTGTCGAATCGGACGTTTTGCAAACCGATCTACAACTTTCTCATCGAGATTTTCTTTATCTTCGTTACCTGAAAAAGTAGTTATTTAAACAGATCTAATTAACAATATTTGAGAGCACAAAAAGATAGTCTAATTCCAGGCGATAGTGAGCAACGTGTGTTTGGTCGAGTCGGAATTGCGTGTGCTGGCATATTTTTAAACACTGGCTAAAGTTACCTGCGACATCCTGTATGGTGCTGTTACGCGGGTGAAACATGGATAAACATTTCAAAACACGGGGGTTACATATGTAATGCGTGTAATACGAATGAATGGCTGCCATGGTTGTGTTGGGATTCAGAGTGCCAGCATCTGAAAAATCTGGGCCGACCGCTGCGTATACGAAACACTATAATTGTCAGACTTTCAGGCATTAGTGAAAAATTCTGGACATCTGCAGCTGGTTCCACGCGGATCCCATCCCTGGAAACATGCATCCTGAGTACAACAGAGCCCGGCGCCAAGCTCATGCTAGAGCCATTACAAAAGCCCTTGCCCACGAACCTGGCGCCACATTTGTTGACGCAGCTCAGTGTTGTTGCGAAGCGCACCTCCGACGACGTTACGAAGGGCGCTACGAATCTCACCGCTGCAACCACTGTTTCGAAAGACGGTCCCGAAGGCGCCAATGCTTCGAATTCTGCCGGGAAGGTCACCAGCCGTTTGGTAGCGTAGGTTTTTCAACTCGCGACTGCTTCTGCGCAGAGCTGATAGACGAGCGGACGAGACGACGGTGAGTTAAACAAGGTTTATGTACAGCATATATACAGAGGCGTTACAAATTCGGCACTGGGGCCGACAGAGACGCGAAGAGCCGAGCTCTACTCTCTAACACATAGCTCTACTCTCAAATGGGTCTGCTGTCCAAGGGGGTCTCTCTCGACGCGCCGCAGGGCTTCTTTTATATGCCCTGGGTCCAACCCAAACGTCCAACCCGAAGCGCCGCTGGTCGCGAGGTCCGAATCCTCCATTGAGGTCGCCGCTGGGCCGCGTCCTTCTTTCTTCTCAAATCTGGAGAGGCTGCGCTGCAGGTGGCTGCACCCAAGGACGAGTGACGTCGGAAGGCGTTGCGTCAGACCCGCCAAACAGGAAGGCGCCAGTTGTTTACTCGACGGGCTCGCTTGCTGAGGTGACTCACTGCACGTGGGCGACAGAAAGGCGCCGCGCGTGTTTACGCCGTTGAGTTGTTCGCGTCAGGCGGGCTGGCCTTGACACAGATTGCCTTTTTCAGAGGCACGGACGTCCGCTGTGGACTCGCAGGCATAAGAGCACCCCCGCCGCCAGACAATGCGCCGAAAAGACGAGCTGCCTCCACGTGGCTCGGATGACAGGTGCGCTCGTTCGCCAGTTCCCTCCAGGTTCGCCTCCAGGGCCATGGGGAGAACGCAGCTCCAGACTCCGTACCGGGAACACATCCCATTCTTGAGGACGGATCCCAGCTCCACTGGCTTGTCGCCAC